CTGATTGTTATGTGTCTTCCGTACGAATGCCCTTGTGAACAGCTATTAATATTCCGCCTTTTGGTTTATTGTTGGTAGATGGTGGTGCGTTTTATCTGTGTATTTTGTAGTTGGATAATTTGGAAGTACCTTTTGGGGTAAACTAGGTTTCGGTGATGATTGCAATATCTGCATTATGGTCTGTCAAAAATTTGTGAGGTTTTGATATCTTGTTTTTAACGCTAATGACATTGCATAAGATGATGATGATGGGTTTTTTATAGCTGCTTATTATCTACTTCTTTCACTATGAGTATTGTCGGTCTCTTTCTAGATTGTTTGTGCATTTCGTGTTTTTGAATAAGCGAGATGGTCTAGGTCTGTTGCTTTGATATCGTCTATTTGATCTTATTGAGAGGATATTTGGTTTGCTGAGGTTAAAGGGATGGTTGAAGTGATACGGCATATGATATTCCTTGCCTTATTTTAAGGTTTACCTGAAAAGATAAACCAAAGAGAAGGTGGTGGGGATTTTGTTTGGAATAAGGTGTGGGAAATTTCAAAAGCTGGGAGGTGCATGTTTAGTAAAAAGTTTTGCACATGATTCTTTACTGGCAGTCTTTTCGGCCAGAAAATTCAGTAATGGAAGGCACTGCGAATAATTGGCCAGGTGAGCACCTTTGCAGTTGGTGAAATTTCTGCAACGATTTCGCTGCAAGATCTGGTGTCATGTTGTCTGGCGCATTTGACACATCCTGGTTTTTTGTTGCAACTTGACGGCGTGTGACCGTGCGCCTGGCAGCGGGAACACTGAATCCTTGGTTTATGGGATTAATATTTTCCCCAGTATATTTTAATATTCTCGATGAATCTAATATGATTTACTTGTGCCAGTGTGGTTCCGGACGCGAACGTGATTCTACATATGGAGTATTTGTTGTGGGTTGGCATTTCAACAGAGTGTATGGGATTTAGGCTCTAGTATCTAATGTTTTCACGTATTCTGGTTACCGGGAGACGGATCAAGTTTTTAAACACTACGATTAATGTTTTTTCGGAGCAGACAGTGGAGGTATGAAATTCAATGTTTTCTTTGATGCAGATGGCCTTGAATTCTGTAAAATCTTTCATGTTCGTAAACATTATTTTAAGTTTGTCTGACGTGAATTTGGCTTGGAAGGCATTCTGGTATTTTGATTTAAGTGCGTCAAGGATTTTTAGATGGTCTATTTTACCATGAATGTATATTGGCGGAGGTTTGACGTTTTGGGGCTTTTTAGTAGGTTTAAATTTATTGCGGTTTGGATTAAATTTATTGCGGTGTCCGCGTTTGGAATGTCGTTTTGTAATTCCGTCTTTTTGGAACCTGAGTCTAGCTCATTGATGACACGATCAGCGAAGACGCTGTATCTGTTTTTGATAGGGATGTCTGGGTTCCATATCTTTTTGCATATTTGCAACAGAAGGTGAGTCTAATAAGATGTGACCTTTCTTCTTCAGAGGTAACTTTTTCTCTTAGCCACTATGTGGATGTAGTCCATGCCTGCTGTTACGACATTTTTGTTTATGGCGGTGTCTGAGGGGATGTTTTCTTCTTTGGGCGTGGATGTTCTGGTTCTCGCATGGAGTCTTTGATTTGTTGTTAAGCACACAATTGTTTACTGATCACTGCGAATGAGAAGGCTAACCCCAGCAAACAAAGCAACTTCATGGATGATGGTAAAGAAAAAAGTCACAGAAGAACACGTTATCACAAGAAAAAGAGCCACATCCCTTTTAGACTCCCCTCTCATGACAAATATGCAAGAAAATATAGAATACATAAACCCAGCCAAAAGTCTACTAAAAACACAGCATCTTCACTGTTTGATTAACAATCAAGATAACGATAAACAAAACACGGTAACTCTACCGAACAACATGTGGTTTTGCCCCATCGCAAACGCCCAAGCAATTCCACTTACCACACACCTAAAACACTCAACCATCCATCCCCTCCTTCCCCCACTTATCTACATCCACGGCGAGATAAACCAAGACCACGCTAAGCTTTTGACGCTCTAAAAAACAAGTACAACACTTTTCAAGCAAAATACACTTTCAGCAAGCTCAAAATCAGTAACAGTTGCTTCTAATGCTGATTCACATCATAACAGTGTGGGAACCTTTATTTTTAGTCTCCTTTGGGTCATGTATCGAATGCTGTGATTCTTAAGTTTCTTTCCGAAAGGAATTTCGAATTCGGTGATTGCTCTTAAGAAGGAGCGACCGCGATGGCGTGAACATTTGATGTTACCAACTGATAGACTCCAATATTTATATAGGATTGAGAAATTAATATAAAGATAAAAAATAAAAATTTAGGATAATAAATCTATCACTATATAAATAAATCACTAATTCGTTATTTTTATTTTCAAAATAACATAAAAAAAAATAACTTTATGTTGTGTTCGAATCAAATAAATGATTTGTAAGTCATTTAAATTAATTTATTCAAATAAAAATAAGTAATTACAGCACAAAATTGTAATTTATTCAATAGAATAAAAAGCTATTTGGAAAATTATTTATAGAAACAAATTTAATAAATTTATTATTTACAGAAATAAATTTAATAAATTTATTATTTATAGAAATAAATTTAAAATACAAAATAAAATAAAAATATACCGTATTTGATAGCCAAATAAAAAAATAATTTCGAGAAAAACCATTCTATTCAAATAAACGCAGAATTCTATTTATTTTTAAATAATAACAAACTATATAAGATATTTTATTAAATTATTTAAATAATTTTTCAAATATTTTAAAAACGTTGAAACAAACAAATTGTGGTATTGACATAAGAGTCAATATAAGACATGTAAAGCCGTCACATAAAAATAAGCTTGAGTATTATTGAAGTAAAATACATTATAAATATATTATAATGACTTCTACCAATCGAAGATTTTGACTGTTAAAAAATATTTGCATCAGTTGTTCACATTAATAAGAAATAATTACCTTACTACATATAATATGAAATAATACTTATAATAAAAACAGTGAAAATGTGGAGTCAAATTTTTGGTAATTAAATAAATAGTTTCTATATATTACCAATTACTTACTTAATGATAATCTCTGAAGAACTGCGTCACTAATTCTAATTAAATTCTTTTTCTCTGGTATTTCCTTTCCAATAAGAGAATGTTTCTCGCTCATATCTGAAATTTTTTATTATGTGAAATATATAACCTTGTTTCAATATAATCTAAATTTTTCTTTATACTACTTGA